CTTTCTCCTTCCTCCCCGCGGCTCTCTCTTCCCTCCGTCCGCTTCTTTCCTCCCCCACGTCCTCTTTCTCCGCCAACCAATCGATCCGCGCGTCGAGCACCGCCCCCGATGCCCCCTCGTCGCCGGAGCTCCTCTCGCCCCTCCAGCGACTGCGAGCGCGACAGCTGCTCGAGTCGCTTCGATCTCCCAACGACGCCTCTGCGACATCGTCGAAACCCGCGCGGAAGCCGTCTTCCCAGCGCGAGGCGGCGGACGAGGAGGCGCGGGGAGGGGCGGAAGGCGCGGCGGGGCCCGAGGCGGGGTTCCAGGAGTTAGGGTTGAGCGCGGAGCTGATGGGCGCAGTGCGCGAGTTGGGGCTGGGCGCGCCGACGGAGATCCAGCGCCTGGCCATCCCCGGCGTGCTGAGCGGGCGCGACGTGGTGCTGGCGTCGCACACGGGGTCGGGCAAAACCCTCGCCTACCTGCTGCCCGTCGTGCAGGTCCGCCGCGCGCCCTGCTGCCCGTAGGGTTTAAGAAACAGGGGCGGAGGGTTTGGGGCTTTGGGGGTGTAGGGAGGATGTGTTGGGCTGTGGCCCAAGAAACGTGGGCGCGCGCGTCAAGGTGCGAGCGAAAGGCTTGTGGGCGGTGTAGGTGCGCAGGTTCCGGTGCTGGATGGTGCATCAGGCGTGCTGATAACACCTCTCCCCCTCGCCCTCCCCCCACTTCTCCGTTCCCGCTTGTGTCTCGCGGCACTCATGCGTGGCTGTATTTCATCTCATCATTCGCCTGCACCGCATGGCATGGCATGGCATGGCATGGCATGGCATGGCATCAGATGATGCGAGCGGACGAGGCGGAGAGTGGGCGCAGCGATCGGTTGAAGCGGCCGCGCGCCATCGTGCTCTGCCCCACTCGCGAGCTTGCCGAACAGGTGCGCCGCTGCTGCTGCTGCTGCTGCCCTCCTGCTGCTGCTGCTGCTGCTCCTCAGCCAGTGGGGGTGGGAGGCATGGGGGACAAGAGCGGGGAGTGGGGGGAAGGAGGGGTTGTAACGAGGGGTGAGGAGGATTGGGTTGAATACTTGTGAAGCATTGACGTTCTCACCACTCCACGCCCTCACCGCATCCCTTGGCTGTCCCCTTTCTCCCTGGCCTGCCCTTTTCCCCTGGCTGCCGTTCCACCCCACCACACACAGGTGCTGCGAGTGGCCAAGTCTCTCTGCCACCACGCGCGGTTCCGTGCAGCGATGCTGTCAGGGGGGGCGAGCATGGCGGGGCAGCAGCAGCAGCTGCAGTCGTGGCCGGTGGACCTGCTCATCGCCACGCCTGGCCGCCTGCTGCAACACATGGCCGCCTCCTCGCTCTCCCTCTCCCTCGTTAAATACCTTGTGCGTGCTTCTCCTCACCGCATGCCCTCCCTCCCCCTCCCAGAACCCATGCACACCCCTCCCCCCCCTCCCCCCCCCCCCCCCCCTCCCACCACCCTCCTCCCTTCCCCCGCTCACCTCTATCCCCTTCATCTCTCCTGTCCAACGCCCGTCTCCAAGCATCGTTGTCAATGGGTGTCCACATCTGCTCCTATGTGCTCATCCTGTTGCGCACGCCATACAGCGTCCCCACAACAGAAATGCGTCTTCCACATGTGCTTGCCTCTCGGTGCTTCTCTGTGCCCGTCCACGCCCCACTGTGCCTCGCTGCACCCCTCTGCACCTTTGGGCAGGTGTTGGACGAGGCGGACACCATGTTTGATGCGGGCTTCGGGGCGGACATCAGGCGCCTGCTCAGGCCGCTCAGTAAGCGCGGCGAGGTGGCGCCAGGGGGGGCAGCGCACCAAGCGCAGAGGACCTTTCAGACCGTGCTCGTCAGCGCCACCATCACCAAGGTGCCCCGCCCGCTGCTCGCCCTGCACTGCCTGCCTCCGCCTCTCCTTGCTCCTCCCGCCTCCCTCCTCGCTCCCCCTCGTCACTCTCCTGGTGACCATGAATCGTGGTTTATGTGTTCTGGAAGCAAGACGCTCCCCACTGCCCCCCTCCCTGTGCTGCCACTGGTGTGTGTGCATGTGTGCGCATGGCAGGCGGTGCAGCGGCTGTTGAGCGAGGAGTTCCCGGGCATCACCCATCTGCACACGGCATCGCTGCACCGGCGCCTGCCGTCCGCCACGCACCGCTTTGTGCCCGTCTCCGGTGCTGACAGCCGGCCCAACGCCCTGCTGCAGGTGCGCGCGCTACCTGCCTCTCCTCCCGCCCGCCCTGCAGCGCCCCTGCGCACATCCTGCTCTCACCACGAGCATTGCCATTGCCATCGTCCCTTTCAACCATCAGGTGTTCTATTCGTCTGGAATTCCTTTCTCTCATGAGCCACCTCCTCTCCTCGCTCTGCTCTCCCCGTCCGTTTCCCCCCTCTTTCTGGGAAGCAGCTGGTGCAGCCGCTGGTGGCGGGCGGGCAGCGGTGCATGGTGTTTTGCAACACGGTGCAGTCGTGCCGTGCAGTGGACCACTTCCTGTGCGAGGCCAACATCCTCACCACCAACTACCACGGCCAAGTGCCCCCCGAACACAGGTGCTCCACACGCCATGCCCTGCGCCCATGCTGTGCTGTTCCCTCATGCACGCTCATGTGCACGGCACCTGTGCACTGCTTAGCACCCTAGCCTGCCTACCCGCCCTGTCTTTCCGTATCATCGTCTTCTTTGTCCTCTCTCGCTCTCTCTCTCCTTCCCCTTCCACCCACACGCATTCGCCTCTGCTGGCGCGCACAGGGCGGGCAACCTAGAGGCGTTCAGGAGCGGGGCCATGGGTGGGGACGACGACGACCTGGGCATCGCGCCCATGCTGCCCGACCGCTTCCATGACAGCGACTCCGATGCCGAGTGGGACGATGACTACTACGAGGGTGAATCAGCAGCAGCAGCAGCAGCAGCAGCAGCAGCAGCGGTGCGGCGCAGCAAGCAGCGGGCGGTGCAGCCGGTGCTGGTGTGCACGGACCTGGCAGCGCGCGGGCTGGACCTGGTGGTGGACCATGTCATCAACTTCGACTTCCCCCTCACCCCTGTACCGCCCCCTCCCTCCCACTCGTCTCATTCCTCTCTCACTTCCGTGCGCTATCTCCCTTGCTCATCTGCGTGTCGCACCTGCCTTCCCTGTGTGTCTCCTTTGCACCCGGACCCTGCATGTCTGTTACCTCATGAGCCCCCGTGACTGTGCGCCCTGTGGTGGTGCATGGCAGGTGGACTATCTGCACCGCGCAGGCCGCACTGCACGCATGGGGGCCAAGGGTGAGCTGGGAGGGGGCGGTGGGATTGTTGGGAGCAACAGCAGCTGTTGTAAAGGAAGTGCCGAATCGAGTCTGCTGCTTTTTTATTTTTTTCTCAGATCATGTTGTGAGAGTGATGGCCGATGCCAGAAGAGAGGAAGAGGCCCTTCTGTGCGCCCCCCTCCCCCAGGGCGAGTGACAACACTGGTGTCGAAGCGGGACCAGCAGATGGCAGCGCTGGTGGAGCGAGCGGTGGAGCGCGGTGAGCCGCTCGAGGGCATTGTGCGCGCCCGGGCAGGGGGGGAAGGGGGCAGGGGTGATGCGGGGGGGAGAGGGCCGCGTGGGGGTGGGAACATGGGCAGAGGCATGGGGAGAGGGGGGCGAGGGGGGAGGGGTGGGAGGGAAGGGAGAGGTGGGGAGGCGCGGGAAGAGAGGGCAGGGGGTTGGGGAGGGCGGGGGGGAGGCAGGACAGGGATGCAGGGGGGCCGGGGAAGGGGAGCTGGGGGAAGGAGTGGGGGGTCACGAGGGCGATGATGGGGGCTGGGTGCTGCTGGCCACAGGCTAGCACTGCCACTGCCTCTGCCGTATCGCCATTGCAGGGCCTGCCAGGCTGGCTGCATGTGAAAGTGAATGTGTGATGTGCTGTGCATGGTGGAGGGCCGGGGCCCGGGTGCTTCTGGGGTGTGACAAGCACGTGCATGTGCTAGTGCGTGCTCCTCACTGGTAGCTTGCTGAGTGGTGGATGGTGAACCCCTGTGCTGTGACAGTGCTTAAGCTGGCAGCTTGGCACTCCGGATGTCGACAAAAGAGATTACGGTAGCACATGATTTATGGATACTGTACCGTATGTCAATCTATATAGAGGCCTAATTTGTGATTGGTAAAAACTACGATATCAAATGGCTGGCATGCAGAAAGGATCGCTGCATTGGAACTACCGTACCGGTACTCATGAGTGCGCACACCCAGCTCTCTAGAACAGAGGTAGTTGACTGTGACAGTGGAGGTTGAAGTGAATCTAACAGTGCTCGTACATACTATGATAACTAACACCACACTATCTAGCAACTTCACCTTACCTACGCAGCCTCTAGCAGCAACCACAAGCACCGGTGGGTTAGCTGGATGTACACACAAGGAGAAGCAGCCACACCTTGAGCTGCCTCGCTCACACTGCCAGAGTGCCACCGCTGTGCACCATCTGTCCATAAGCACCACTTGGCCTCTGCCCTGCATTTCATGATACCTATCACTGCCCTTGGCCCCTATTTACCACAAACCCTTTGCTCCTGCTCGCTCGCTTATTATCTACTCTTCTCCAAGCTTCCTCCCTTGTTCCTCTTCTCCATGTAATCTCTGTCTTCCTAACCCCTGCTGTGTGTGGCTTAACCCCTGCACTGTCACTGTCACTGCCCTGCGCAGGCATCTACATGCATGTGCTTGCTCCTCTCACTCCCTCCACCGCTTGCCGCACTGCCTGCCTGCACACACAGCAGTGCACCACTGCACCACCTGAACCACCTCCTTCCACAAGCACCAGTGGCCAACCCCAGGGAGGTGCACGCTCACATGTGACACAACCGCACAGCAGCAGCAGCAGCCAGCACCCCGCCACACATCTCAGCAGGTGCCAGTGAGCAGCGGACGGCCATGCTCAGCCATGCATGGGCAAGTGCGGCAGGACAGCTGCATGGGGCAGGGCTGGTGACAGCTGGAGGGGCATGGAGGCGCAAATGCGAGGGCTTGTTGTGGCGTGGCGTTGCATGGCAGGGGTCACATGGAGGTGGCGAAGGGCACGGCCCCGCGGCCGAGCAGGAAGGACTTGAGCACCATGCGCTCTATGCCGTCTGGCGTCCACTGGTACGTTGATATGTCCGTCAACACGTCCCTGCACGCCCATGCATGCGTGCATGCATGGCGCCACCACATCACACACGCATCACACAGGTGAATGAGCAGGAACAGCAAAGACAGCAGAAGGCTTCAGGCAGCAGGGCAGTGGCAGCAAGGGGCTCCGAAGCACCACAGCAGCATGATCCGGTGCTATCAGGGCAGACAGCAGAGGGGTGTCGGTGTGGGTGTGGGTGTGGGTGTGGGAGCGGGAGGGAGGGAGGGTGGGAAGGCGCACCGGTGGGGGGTGAGGAAGTCCATGTAGTGGTCCTTGATGGATGCCCCCAGCAGGCGCCGCACCTCCTTGCGGCTCTTGTCATCCGTGATCACCCAGTCCTTCTGCTGCAACGCCAGCTCCTCAAATAGCCGGTTGAACCGCTTCAACCTGCCACACGGCACATACGTCAGCAACGCATAAGAGTAAAGTAACGCATGACTGCAACGCACGACAACAGCGGCATGCCAGCAAGGGTGCAGAGAAAGAGAGCAGGAGCAGAGGTAACGGAGAGCGATGGAGCACGGCGGTGGTGGCACAGACCTGTTGCGGACCTCGCCTCTGTCGTATCCCTGGCTGTGACCCTTGGGACCCAGGGCTCCGTGCAGCTGCACTCACTCACACACAGGGAAGAGGCAGAGGCAGGGCAGTGCGGTGAACGTGCACGCGCAAGTGGGCTAAACGCGACAAATGCAAACAGAAGCGAGGTGCACTGAGTGAACGAGAGAGGGACGACGCAGAGGTGTGAGTGCAGGGCGGGCGCTCGGGGGAATGATGAGAAAAGATGGAAGTTGCGGGAAGAGAGGCGGAGCTCGAGGAGGAAGTGAGAGCGAACAAAACAATGGGAGAGATAGAGACGGGGGAGGGGGGAGAGAGGGGGGTTGAGAGGGTGGGGCGATTGGCAGGGAGAGCATGCCTTGGAGAGGGCGAGCGTGGCGAAAGACTGGGCGCTGCGCTCCTGCTTCTGCTTGAAGGACTGCGTGCACTTGAAGGGCGAGTCAGAGCTGTGGGGCAGGGCGCATGGGTGCAAGGGCAAGGGGCAGCAGCAAAGTGAGTACATGAGACCCACAGGATGGGTTTAGGGTTGAAGACACAAGACACGATTCTAGTGCAGCTTTAACAAGCACGCAAGCAAAATGGCGAGTTAGATGGCGTTCACAGCAAGTTAGCTCAAGCGAAGTAGGCTCAAGAGGCCCAAAAGTGCAGATATTTGGGTCCAGCGTGGCAGTTTTGCCACTGACCACACCCACTCCCCGTGTCATGCGAATGTGGATACCCAATGAGGTGCGTGTAACCCAATGAGGTGCATGTAACCCCGTCGACTTCAAGATCGTTCATGAGTAGCTTTCGTGAAGCAACCCCAAACACGTGTTACACAAATATCTGTGCACTGTTGTTGAGCGCGGTTCGCTTTGAGCTAACTTGCTGTGAACGCCATCTTAAACTGAGGCAGGCAGAGGGGTGGGGCGTACAGGTGGTTGCAGATGTAGCAGAAGTTGTTGACGTAAAAGAGCATCTTGGTCATGTCGTCATGGCACCGCGCCGCCTTGGCGTCCAGGTTGGCCTCCAGTGCCTCCAGCACCTTCATGCCCACCGCCTCCACACTGGTGCGCTCGGGGAAATGCTCCTCTATCGCCGCCTGCAGTATGCACCCGTAGCTGCCCGCTATGTTCCTGCCGGGGGATACGGGGGGCGCACCGCATGTGGATTGAATGAAATGGACATTGGCACCAGAAAGTGGTTTCATTCACAGCAAGTGATGCACTGACTCATTTGTCCACCATCTCGCTCGCTTGTCCATCATCCCACACACTCACACTCACTCACTTGCCCATCATCTCACTCATTCACTCAATCACTAGTCCATCACCGCACTCACTTGTCCATCATCCCACCGTCACTCACTTGTCCATGATCTGGCGCACGTAGTTGACGACATAGCTGGTGATGGGGTGCACTGTGGCGTCCACCTGCCCCTCGCCACTCGTCTCCATGCCCTTGCTGCTGCGACTCAGCCTGCTCACAGCACAATGCCACCAATGCAATCAACGCATGCCATCCATGCCATACATATCAGTGCCGCAAATAGCAGTGTGTCAGATGATACCATCGCAACTCACCATCACCATTGCCACACACATTTCAAACGTGTGTACCTCCAGGGTCATCATCACCATGCAATGCATTCCCCTTTCTTAACAAGCTGCAGCCCTCGGGCAAGGTCACAGGGACATCACCGCAGATTCAAGGTCACAACACACCCCACATACCAGGGTCCTGCCTGCCTAGCCGTACCATCACGCCACTCCACTTGCGCAACCCACTCAACCCCACCATCCCCTGACCCCATTACACCCCATCTCTCACCCACCCCTACGCACGCCCACGTGCAGCACCACGGCATGTCACGGCACGGAACACACCTGAGGCGGTGGCCGACAGAGCGCTTGGCCATGGCGGTGGAGGAGCCGGCGGACGCCTTGAGCACGGCCACCACCTCGTCTATGCAGCTCGTCGCTGCACGCGCCAGCTTGCCCGGTAGCTCCACCCACATCGCCGCCAGTGCTGTGTCCTCCGCTGCCTTGGCTGCCTCCTCCACCTGCAAGCCCATGCACCACCACACGGGCGCCCACACCACCCACGCACACAGCAACACCACAGCCAACGCACAAGGCCGCCCCATAATATCAGTTTTAGGCTGGACTTTCAGTGCATGTACCCGTGTTTTCGACTCGACTCCCTTGGTGAGGCGATTGAAAGAGATGGATGGGGAGGGGGGAGAGTGCAGCGGAAGGGGAGGGGGCGCACGTGCAGCGGAGGGGGAGGGGGCGCACCGAGGCGACGGAGGAGCGGCAGAGCCAGAAGGCGTCAAGGTAGGCAAAGAGCTTCTCCGGCAGGCACGGCGTGGCCAGCAGCGCGTTGGCGTTAGCAGCCTGCACCCGTAGCGCCGCCACTAGCCCCGAGTCCGTGAGCAGCGTGGTGAAGACACTCAGCGTGCCCACTCCCAGGCGGCCTATTACGGACGCAAAGAGCGCCCTCTCCCCGTCCAGATGCACCGCCACCTGTAATCCCACAAGGCGGGCACAGCAGCACACACACGGGACGTGACGGGACATTGCTCGCGTCTGTGTTGGCACGCACAAATGTACGGCAGGGGCCATGGTCAGCAACATATGACAAGGCACGCACCAGCGGCGGGCAGCAGCAGCACACTTTGACGAGCAGCAACCACAACAACTGCCATGGCATGCCCAAGTTGCAGCACTCGCCCCGCACCCTGTCAGAACGTACCCCAACACACCACCTTATTCCTCCCCCCCTTCAATTCTTCCCCCCTGTTCCCCACCTGGCCCCAGCCCCTCCCCCGTCTTACGAGAGCATGTGTGTGGTGCAGCCAGGTGCGCAGCACCTGCTCCATGTCACCCCACGGCAGCGCCTGCAAATCGCGCCCCTCCAACGCCTCCACCGCCAACGCGCTCACCGCTTCCTTTAGCACCGCCAGGCGCGCACTCCTGCGAGCACACACACGCAGCACAGCACGGCACAGCACAACACGGCACACACACGCACGCAGCACAGCACGGCACGGGACACACAGCACAGCACAGCAAATCAAACAAACAATGGGGGAAGGGACGCGTGGCAAGGTTGGCAAGTGGCAGTGCCATGGGTATGTGAGTGAGGGCACGATACGCCCACCCTAGCCCCCCCCACTACCCCTCCTCACGGTGTGCGCGCGTGAGCAGCAAGCAGTGTGTGTGCGAGCAGGAGCAGCTAGCACGGGTAGGTCTGGGTGGGCACCTGTAAGCATCACCGCACTGCGCGAGGCTACCATCCTTGGCTATCCGCTTCGCCAGCCCGTACAGCTGCTCCCACTCGGGGCACGTCAGCAACACGCTGCTGCTGCCACTGCCGCCCCCGCCGCCCTTGTCCTTGTCCTTATCCGACGCGCCCTTCTGCCCCTGCTGGTTGCGGGGCAGCGGCGGTCGGTTGGAGTGCGGCCCACCCGCCCCCGGGGCCCCTGCGGAGCGGAACAGCTTCATGCTCACGGACCGCCCCACTGCTCGCAGGCGCGCCGTGGAGTCCTTGTCGCGCTCGCGCGCAGCTGCCAGCGCGCGGTCGGGGGAGGGCAGCGCGGTGACGGGCGGGGAGGAGGGCACGGACTGGGCAGCGCGGGGGGCGACGCCCGTGAAAGAAACGGGCGCCTTGCTGTGGTGGTCGGAGCGGCGCGGCGGCAGGCCCATGTTGAGCGAGGAGTGCGTGGTGACGGTGGTGGCGTCCGAGGGCGTGTCCAGCACCAGTATGTTGGGCGATGATGCACCTGAGTGCTCCGGGGACGGCCCTGCAGCCGCCCTCGCCATCTCATCACTCAGCGACTCCTCCTCGCCCTCTTGCTCCTCCTCCTCCCCTTCGCCTCCCGCTCTGTCCGCCCCGTCCGCCCCGTCGTTACCCGTGCGGTGGGGGTTGAGTCTGGTTTGCGCGGGCGCGGAGGAGAACTCGCTGAGCATGGGGTCGTCGAACAGCGAGCGCGGGGGCGCGCGCGAGGGGGAGGAGAAGGGGGAGGACGCGGAGAAGACGTCGGGGGTAAATTGGCGCGGCATGGAGAGCTGGCTGTCGTCCAGGCACTGCTCTTGCGGGGACAGGCGCGACGAGGGGGACGCGGCGGCGGACGACGGGCGCACGGTGACCCGCCCGCACGCGCTGGCAGGGCGGCGCGACCAATCCGTGACGTTGCGAATGCGGCGCTCCCATTGGCTCTCGCCCTCGCCCTCCCGTTCCCCGTCCGCCAACGTCGAGTTGGGCGACCGCGACGGCAGCAGCAGCCCCACGGCCGCTGCGTCATCCGCCAACCCTGCCGCCTCCGCCGCCCCCTCGCTGCGCGCCTCCTCCTCCGCTCCCGCCTGAAACAACTTGCTGCGCGCACGGCGGACAGCAGGCGCGCAAGAGATAAGGGGGAGGGGGAGGGGAGGGAGAGGGGGGTGTATCGATACATCGTTTATCGAGCTAACCCGGCTGCATCAGCGAGAGGGGGAAGCGGGAAGACGAAGAGAAGGGCAGGAGAACGAGTGGCAACAAGCATGAAGTTGAGAGTCGAGAGAGCAGTGATACATAGGGGGAGGACTGGAAGCGGACACACGAGGCACGGCGAAAATTAAGTCACCAAGGGATGGCCTGATCAGGTAGCGAAGGAGATTACGCACTGCGAGCTGGTTAGTAGGTGCGCGAAGTCCGCGAGGAGCTCGTCTAGTCCAGCATCAGGCGACGCTGACGCGAGGGGTGGTGTGGGCGTGGCAGTGACGGTGGCGGCGGAATGGTCCTCCATGCTCCAGGGCTCGCAGCTGCCGCCGCTGCCCTCGCTCGGCGCCACACTGCTGCCGCCCGCTAACGACTCGTCCTCGTCCGCCTCCTCCCGATCCCACTTCGGCACCCGCGGCCTGCGATGGCGCGCGCGCTGCTGACACGTAGCAAGAGGAATAAGCAGTGGCGGGCAGGAGGGAAATCAAGGGTTTGATTGTGTCGTCGTATCCACAGGAGCGACGCTTAGGTTAAAGTACTCGTTTCTATGCGGTTTGTGCACCAGGCCATCAACAATCTAAGGACGCAGCCGGCATTGACTCGCTAGCAGCACATTGTACTAAGTTGCTTCACTTTAAGATATGACCAAGCCATGTGAAAAAAGAATCCTTTTTTTGTCCATCTCATGGAAACGCGTGATCGCTGGCCTTTGACTTGCTGCCCGTCGGCCAGTAAATGAGACCGTGCGGTGCTCGGTGACTTATGCGCAGGTGGCGGCCGACTAACCTCACTATCGACTGCCCCAGACGCCTTCACGCGGCGCGGAATGCACGTCGGCTGCAACGACGGGGAAGGTGGCGAAACAGATTGCGGGGAAAGCGCGGAGCACTCGGGATCTGCGGGCAGCGCAGCGGAGACAACGGAAACTGGAGGGGTTCGCGCAGCGATGCGCTCTGCCATGCAGACAGAGGCGATCCGCTAAGTGCCGCCAGAGCAGACGGCAACTGTGGTGATAACGGTCTGTCAAATAAATATTGGTAAAGAACAGAGCTTTTAGTAAAGGCGATGATAAAACGCTTTTCGTCCTTAATGCACCTCCGATGTGGCTCAACGGTCCCAGGGACTACCTAACGAGTTCTATAACACTATCTAACAACTACAATAATATCGATGTGTCGTAAGCGCCCCTGAAGATGCGGAAAGTCAAGATTATGTAAAATGCAGGGCAGCAGCTCCTACACAGTTCAGACTACGACGAATGCTAAGGACGGCGTATAAGATGCGCGTCCGCGCAACTCCTCGAGCTGATTTGCTACTTGAAAATAACGGCGCGCTCTGGCCGATCCTGACCTATAGTCGGCGATGTCCCAACAGCTATTCACATAGTTTTAAGAGCCCCAAACCTGTGGACCTCAACCAAACGGGAGTCAGTGCGCTGTAGGGAGGCGGCAAGGGCGGAGAAATAGGAGGGTTGGTGAGGGGAGGAGGAAGAGGGGAAGCGGGGGGGTGGTGGGGAGTTGGGGTAGTGTGGGCCCTGCCTGACTGCGCGTTCCAGGCAGCACGGCAGGTTGCGGAGCAGAGCAGCATTCCCAAACCATCATCAGATGGCTTGCGATATTAACGACAGACGAAATCCTCCAGCGATGGCTTTTGATTTCGCTAACTTTGCTGTCAACACGAACCAGCATGCCTTCGGGTTTGGGGCAGTGCGTGAACAGAAAGTACACCCCGCGGGGGTGGAGCGGATCAACTCGGCGCGTGCAGGCGATGTACAGGTTCTCCACATTGAAACTTCACTTGTAATTCCCAGACTAGGTTGGATGGGGATGTATGGAGCGGCTATTTCGTTCGCACTCGCAAACAAATTTGCGAGTACCGCAGAATCCAGTTTGGCCGATGTCGTACACGCCCTCGACGAGCCCAGACTGCAACTTGCGTCGATAATGCTGCTCAGCTCCCTATTGATTCGACAAAAAGTGTCGGCCCGTTAGTTCAGCCTGTCAATGGAACCACCGGCCAACAGTTTCGCACAGAGGTTGTGCCGTAATGGTTGGTAACACTGTCGTTGGGGTTGTGGGGAACAGGGTTTGATGGTGCTTATGCAATAGGGGGATGGTTTAGCCATGCGGTTGAATTGGTGCACGCAGATGATACAAACCATCCTCTGAACACTTCTCTCTGATATCCATAGCACCCCTTTCCCTAGAGACCCTACAGACAGCTTCCACCAGCCTCACCACTGAGGGGCAACCAGCAATTCTGGCAGCGTTCTCATTGGCATCTGCCGTTTGAGAATATGAACCCACCCACACCACAAACATACCGTACAACAATTGCCTGTTCCTCCCCTCACCATGCTTCGGCCCATCAAATACAAGTGCCTCCAGCCCCACTGAGAGCTATTCCAAGAGAAACCAGCAGCAATGCATGTGCAGGTCAAGCACGTTCGTCCCCCCTGCCATCCCGGTCGCCGACAGCAATGAAGGCGGTGGCGGCACAGATGAGCACGGTGCCTGCTGCACTCTTGAGCGACAGGCGCTCCGACAGGAAGAGCAGCCCCAGGAAGAATGTGCCCACTACCTGGCCGTGCCAAGGGGAGGACAGGACGCATGAAGCATGCATGAATGCCAACCATCGCCGCAGCACAAGGGACTGCTGCCACATAACCCTGTCTGTCTGCGATGGCGCATTACAGTGCACAAAACACATGGCACAGCGTGCACAAAACATGGCACGTGGAGCACACAGCACGTGGCACATGGGGCAGAAGCACATGGACATGGGGCACAGCGTGTGGTCACCTTGATGTACTGCATTGCTGACGCCCTGCCTGCCTTCTCCAGCTGCAGCCCACGTGTGAGTAGTACCTGGGAGCAACGGGCAAGTGCACGGGAGAGGGAAATGTAAAAGCAGAGGGAACGGGAGACACGAAGAAACTAAACTCGACAGGAACGTGGGCCTCAAGCGTTTTTTTGAGGCGCAGGTAATGGCAGGCAGGGCACAGCAACAAGGTGGGGAGTGAAGGCAAAGAAGCGGCAGGTCTGACCTGAGCGGCAAAGGCGGTGACACCCACTAGCAGCATGCCCACCAGCTCCGATGCTGATGGCGTCACAAACCCCTGCGCGCATGGGAGCAAAACGGCAGTGCAACGGTCATGAAGTGAGAGGCACAGAGTGGCATAAGGAGCAACAAACCTGCTGCACAGATAAAGATTTGAGCAAGAGTCAAAACAGGACAATGAGAATGGATAAGAGAGAATGTAGAGGCATGGGCTGGCTGGTGGAACAAACGACAGCACAGGCGAGGAAGAGAAAGGACCTGGAAAAGCAGGAGACAAATGAAGGACGCTGGGCAGGAGAAGGCTGCAAAGACAAAGACAACCGCCCTGAACACATTGGCAGGACACAGGGGAACGCCACACACATATAAGACAGTTGAATGCTAAAACTGATGAAACGACGAGAAATATAAAGCGGGGATATCGCAAGGTGGCAAATGAGAGTTCAGGAAGATGCATGAGCAATAAAGGGGCATAACGGCCAAAAGAAAACATTCGTAGGTCCACTCAGTGCTACAACTGGGCGGGGCTAGAGAACAACTAGAGGCAGACTAGGGACGGTGAGGGAAGCAAGGCGGCATACAGCGGTTGCTCCCCTGCCTTGCCGATGCTGCGCACAAGGCACAGAGCCACGGCACCCACGAGCGCAGCCAGCAGCGCCACGAGCACCCCCACCAGACTCTCATGGCGCTGCGATGGGTCGTCCTGCTGTGTCAGTGGGCCTGATGACCACACGCAGCACACAGAAGAGGGCCGCGCCATGCGGGACAGAACATGGAGGTGTGCTCAGGAAGTGCAGTGAAGGGAGAGGAATGAGGGCACATGCCATCACCTGCATGCTTGTACCCGCCCATGCAAAGATACCAAGGACCATTTGAAAAGCGGAATTGAGAGCAGCAAAGTGATGGGTGGTGGGCTTGGAAGGTACCTCCGAACACAATGGGGGGCTGGGTAACCATGAGCACGCCCAGAAGACAGCACGCAGAGCCTGCAGGGGAGATGGCCGCATACAACCCATGAGCAACAAGGCGATTCAGTGGAAAAGACAATCCAGAGGAAAAGACAAGTGAATCACTCCCAGGCGTGAACAGAATACGAGCACAGGGCAGCGCTCTGCTATGCGTGCATGTGCAGTTGGCATGCATGTACTCTAAGCGTGTGCTGCTACCTCTGGGCCATGGGCAGCAGGGTGCTGACCTATGTTGCAAAATACGCGTTTCACGTACCAGTCGCGTACGTACTGTACGCTCACGTACGTACGTGATACGGGCGATTTCAGCCCCACGATACGCTCGAAATACGGTCGCCCGGGCAGGTGAAAAAAAGTTCCGGGCAGGGAAAAAAAGTATGGGGGGGTGAGTCACGCTGCCTATGTTCATTTTGACCTTGTGCAGTTGGTTTTTTGAAATGCTGTCGGGACGGATGGGAACCTTGAAATGCTTGAAGACGACATGCGTACTATCCTCCTCCAGCCATTGCGCCTCCGAAGTCGAGGCAGAAGGATCGGTATGCTGAGTAGACGGACCAGAAGGCTGAGTGTGGTTAGAAGGGACTGGAGTAGACATAGCTCAACACTGAACTGAACAGGAATGAGAGATGTGTTGTGGTGGGGTCAATTATACCTACCACGAATTGGTTGTGGGGTGGGGGACGTGCTCTGGTTGGTCATGAGTTGTTGGGGGTGATTGGGCATTGTTGAGTTTCGTGGGGTGAACGTGGCGATTCGGTTTTGCACGTCCACAGGTTGGAAAAACGCGACCCGAAATGTCGGAATACGTGCGTACGGAAAAAGCGCGAACTTTATTTTTTTTTTGGGAATTTTTTTTGCCCTGCCCGAATTCACGTATCGCGTATTTGTCCCCGTTTCACGTTTTCCCGTTTATACGTGAACGCATATACGCGATACGTTAAATTTCAAAAGCTTATAGTGCAACATAGGTGCTGACCTGCTATCTCTCTGGAGGTGAACTTCTCGTCGAGGAAGACACTGGCGATGATGGCTGTGAACACCGGCAGCGTGAAGCTGATCAGCGTCGCGTCCCTCAGCGGCAGCACCTGGATGCTGCACCCACACGCCACCCACAGGGGCAGTTTGGGGGGAGGGGCGAGAGAGAGGGAGACGGAGGGAGAGAGGGAGGGAGAGAGGGGAGAGAAAGAATGAGAGGGAAAGAGGGGGAGAAAAAGAGAGACAGAAAAAACAAAGTGTGGGCGAGAGAAAGAGGGATATGCAGGGTAGGAGGAAACAAGAAAGAGCAGCAATTGCTGAGGGGCACCAAGAGAGTGTGCGTGGAGTGTGGCACACAAGAGAGGCGAACCTGTAGAAGAAAGCAGAGAGCGCGACGAAGCCAAGCACAGCACGTGCGAGCAGCAGCAGGCGCAGCGTGGGAGCGCCGAGCAGCGGGTGGCCAATGCGGTGCAGGCACAGGGCGGAGAGCGCCGCGATCACCGCGCAGCGCACAAACACCGTCTCAAACGACGGGATCGAGTGCACTGCCACGGGCGGGCGGTTGGGAGTGGGGGACCGCGGAGAAGGGGGGAGAGGGGGGAATGAGTAGGGATGGGGGGGAGAGGGGGAGGCGATGAAGGTCCTGTGGCCCCGTGAATGCAGCTTGCGGTGTTGTGTTGGGCCTGAACTGGTGCGTCCAGGCTAGCGTGCGTGGCCTTGTGTGCTAAGGCTATCCGCCTTGCATAGCCGCTCACTCTCTTCCGACGTCAAAAACACTCGACGGGAAAGAGCAGGGCAAGGGAGCGCGAGGACGCGAGGGCGGACGGGCGTGCGCGTGGGCGGGAGGAAGGGGGGAAAGGGCGAAGGGGGCGCGCGGCACCTGAGAGGAGTTTGACGAGCAGGCCCATGAAGCTGAAGAGCAGCGCGGATGTGAGCATGCACAGCAGCCCCGCGTGCGGCGAGCCCCCCCACAGCCACCAGAAGTTCTCCCGCACGTTCCACCCGTCCTGCGAGCCCCCGCCGTGCGCCCCGCCTCCTCGGCTCCGCCGCTTCTCGTGCTTCTCCGCACGCTCCTGCCACATAACGGAGTCGCAATGAATGTGCGCATTTTGGGCATGGATATGAGATGCGCGTCGTGAAAGGCTAGCGAGGGTTAACTAAAAGCCACGGCGGACCAATCACCGTGCTACGCCAGGTTTCCTTAACGCAGCGCTAAGCGTGCTACACCAGTAGGGTGGAAACGCGATCACGCTGCTAAACAATTGACGCTTTATTCATTACATTTTCTTGACAGTCTTAGTCTTGATTACTCGCGCGGCCGCCGCGCCCCGCAGCAGCGCTCACCTTGCCTCCGGAGTGGCGCTGCGTTGACACGCGGCCGCGCTCCTCGTCCACCTCCTGCCGCCCGTCCTCCAGCAGCGTCACCAGCTCCTCCCCCTCCCCCGCCGTCGGCATCAACGCCTCGCTGCCTCCACCCGGCGGCCGAGGCGACGCCGCAGGCGCGCTGGAGCCCACTGGAGCGAGCATGGCGGATCGCACGATCTGCGAGAGTCTAGTTAGTTTAGCGTATCCCTACTGGAGTCTAACCCAAGGTGTGTGATATGAAGGGATTGGGCGGTACTCGTCAACACTGAGATCCCACACCCTTGTGTTGCTTGTGTGAGGTGCGGTTACCTCCACCACAACCACAGTTTCGGCATCACTTCGCAATGTGCTGGCGATGTAACAAGATGCACCCAGAGGTTGAATTGAGCTGGGAGTTCTGAAGTGGTGTATATGTATGTATCCAGTACACAGGCTTTCACTCCGCTGCAACTGCTACACTCTGCATTGTCTTGAAAATAAAGTTTGTGGGCGCCATTGTCGTCATCAGACAATCAGATGAACCAGATGTCTGGCAAAAGAGGAACTTACTACCATACCACACTAAATTACAGGTTTCGTCTGATGGTGGATATCCAGGTTGACTTGAGAGATCTGTTCTTCACCTTTGTACCCTTGGTGACGCATATGTAGCCAAGCCACCACACAGGGTATTACGGGAGGACGGCAAGGTTTCGTCTGATTTTTTTGCTCGGTCTGGCCGTCGGTTTACGGGTGGTATGCCGACGAGAACTGTAGCTTCGTGCCGTACTGCGCCCACGTCTCCTTCCAAAATTTCGATGTGAACTTTGGGTCCCGGTCGCTGATGATCGCCGATGGGATGCCGTGTAGTCGCACAACGGTGGAGATGAAGAGGCGTGCAGTTTCTTCGGCGGTGATTGTCGTGCGACAAGGTGCGAAATGCGCCATTTTTGTGAGGCGATCGACGACGACGAGTACAGCGTCGTTGCCGGACGGCCCAGCTGGCAGCCCCGTGACGAAGTCCATCGTCACCTGTTGCCATGGTCGTTCGGGTGGCTCGAGAGGTTGCAGCAACCCAGCTGGCCGCTGACGTGTCGATTTCATGGCCTGGCAAACTCTGCATGAAGACACATAACGCTGCACGTCAGAGTTAGAATCAGGCCAATAATACTGACGGTGCAACAGCTTCTGGGTTTTATCAACCCCGAAATGTCCGGAGAGGTTGGAATAATGAACCTCCTGAATAAGGAGTTCACGCAGCAGCCGGTAAGTAGGAACCCAAATCCGGTCAGTTTCGGTCTTTAGGTAATAATTCCCCTTCTGCGTCGTCGCCTGCTGGTGATTTCCAGTCGTGAAGAACGGGTCCGTAGTGTAGCCGTGGGTGAATAGTCCCGAAAGAAGCGGGTTCGAATGGGTGATCAGCACAGCAGCGGATTGGACTGTCGGTCGGGTCAGGGCGTCGGCAATGTTGTTCGCGCCCTTCTTGTAGGTGATCCTGTAGTGGAAGTGTGACTCCATGTAATCGAGCCACCGGATTTGTCGCGGGTTGAGGTTGGGTTGCGCTCGAAGGTACTGTAGGGATTTATGATCGGTGCGAACAGTGACGTCGGCGCCAGTCAGGTAGCATCGCCACAGTTTAAACGCGTGAATGATGGCGAGCATCTCCTTGTCGTGAATCGGGTAGTTGCGCTCGGCTGCCTGCAACTTGCGTGACTCGTAGGCGATCGGTTGTAAGCCGTTGCCAAAATCCTGGAGCAGCACTGCGCCGATGGCAAAATCTGAGGCGTCGGTGACAACTTCGAACGGCTTGGATGGGTCGGCGATGCGAAGAACCGGAGGGGACACCAGCGACTGCTTCAACTCCTGAAAAGCCGCCTCAGCTTCCTCCCCCTAAACGAAGTTCTTGTCCTTGTGCAGCAAGTCGGTCAGCGGGCCGGTTATCCCCGCCATATTCGGGATAAACCGCCGGACATAATTCACAAACCCCAGAAAACTCTGAAGTTCCGTGACATTAGTCGGGGCCTTCCACTCCTGGATGGTCTTGATTTTCTTCGGGTCGATTTTGATGCCGTCGCGTGAGATGACGTGCCCCAAAAACTCCAACTCTTGCTTAAAGAACTCGCACTTAGAACCCTTGGTGATGAGCCGGTTGTCTTGTAGCCGCTTAAACACTGCGTCGAGGTCGCGGATGTGTTGCTCGCGTGTCCTGCTAAAAATCAGAATATCGTCCAAGTAGACGATAACACACTTGTCCAGCAGGTCGCGAAATACCCTGTTCATGGTGCGTTGAAATGTTGATGGCGCGTTCGTGAGGCCGAAAGGCATCACGGTGAACTCGTAACTGCCGTAGCGGGTTCGGAAGGCGGTCTTGTGACAGTCGTCAGCGAAGACCCTGATCTGGTGGTAACCGAAGCGTAGGTCGATCTTCGAGAAGTAGCGAGCGCCGCGAAGTTGGTCGAGAAGGTCGTCGGTGCGTGGGATGGGATAGCGAGATTTGATGGTAACCCAGTTAAGCGCGCGATAGTCGATGCACATGCGAATGCCGCCGTCCTTCTTCGGTGTGAACAGGATCGGTGCGGCGAAGGGCGAACTACTGGATCGGATGAAGACCTTCTCCAACAGTGACTCTAGTTGACTTCGAAGCTCCGCAAGTTCGGGCTGAGTCAACCGCCACTGTGTACGAACAGTCGGTTGCGCGCCGGGCTCCAGCTGGATTTTGTGGTCCTCGGGGCGTTCGGGTGGTAGTCCAGGTGGCAGGTCGTCGGGGAAGATGTCGGGGTATTGTCGAATCAGCTCCGCTAAATCAGGTGGTACAGCTGCGCACAGCTTCTCGATGTCGTTTCCGTCGGTGTCGGCTGCCAACTCGCGCAAGCATACGGCGAACAGTTGCGCACCCCTGTTGACGTGGCGTGTAATAGTGATGGCTTTGACGCATGTAGACTCGATGCAGTCCGGAGTCCACGCGGGCAGAGTAATCAGCCCCCCGTTTTTGCTGATGCTGCATGATCCCTTCGTCCAATCGATTATCGGGTTGTGCCGTCGCAGCCAATCGCGTCCCAGGAGCACGTCGCATCCGTCCAACGTCGTCGCGAGAAACTTCATGCTGAAGCCGAAATCGTCGCCGCACTCAATCCGCACCGTCCGCGTCTCCTCCATTATCGCCAGCGGCGTCCCATCCACGAGGCGAGCGTCGATTTCGGGCAGACACCTGTCCAGCTGCAACTTGCATTTTTTTGCTGTCGCCAGATTGAAGAGGCTATGGCTAGCCCCGCCATCGACGAACATTTTTATTTTTTTCTTAACAACCGTGCCAACAACCAGCACAGGGTGATCCACATGTTCACCCACATTATTCGTCCGAGTGCGATCGATTGCATGAATCGGAACCACGACTTGGTGGGGATGGTGGGGTTCGGGCGACAGAGCACAGTCAGTAAGGGGCCCGTCTGTTACTGACTCTTCCCATTTCCCGGCTCCTTCCCGTCATCCTCTTTCCCTGCGTCCTGTCGGGGCAGTCTTTATACATGTGGCCCGGCTTCCCGCACTTAAAACACAACCCTGTAAAAGGGCGGTCTGGCGCATGGACTCCGTTAATCGTGGCCCGCTGGGTCTGTCCACGAAATCGGTTTCCCTCCCGAGAACTCGATCTCGCCCACTGCATCAGCGCGTCTGTGCTCTCGGCCAATCGGACGGCTTCGTTGAATGTTGTCGGGCGGTTTCGGCGCACCTCGAACTGTATCTCGTACTTGAGGCCGCTGATGTATTTATCCAACCGCTCCGCCTCCGCCATGTCGTCCACTTGGTCCGCGAGCGCCATAAACGACGCCGTGTAGTCTTGAACAGAAGCCAACTGCGACCAGGTACGTAGCCTCATGCGAGCGTGTTCCGAGGTGGATACATGCTCGAAACGCTCTCGTAAGGCTGCGCCCCACTGTTTCCACGTGCGAATTGTGGCCACACCGAATATTGATGATGCCCTCCCAATAGCAGAGTCCGAAGTCCCGTCTGCCGCATGTGTCACACCTGTCGGGGTCCCCGTGTCCAAGGACCTCGAAGAAGCGATACCGCGTCATTAATACGCGTGGCGCCATCGTTGACATTCGCTCCAGTGAAGAACACCTCCACGCCGAACAACCACCCCTTAACTGTAGTACTCTTGTCTGTAGGGTTGAACGGGGGCGGGCTCGTAGGCTTTATCTTGATTGTTGTCACTGCAACTGTTGTCGCTGCCGCCGTTCGTTGCCTATCTGTCAAACTATATGTGCTGCATATTGTTTAGGCTGTAGTGGGGTAGCCCATATGGGGTACCACCCAATTATGGTTTACTACTTGTACTCCTGCATCCTGTTAGTTCATTCATTCCTGCTGCTAGATTCTGACATGGTATCAGAGCACTAAGGTCCGTAGGACCGTTTTTTTTTCGGGCCCACCTACCGCTGCGGTTACCGCGCTACCCCACGTACCTGCCTGCCTTGCCTTGCCTTGTGACGTGCTGCACTATGCGCGCCGTCCAGCAGCCCTAGCGCTGCCTCCTGCTGCCTTAGGCCAGCGCGCTGCCCCTAGAGGCCCGTAAGGCCCACGCGCCGCCCCTAGAGGCCCGTAAGGCCCGCGCGCCGCCCCTAGAGGCCCGTAAGGCCCGCGCGCCCCCTCTACACGCCCGTCAGGCCCGCGCAGCCCGCTGCAGCCGCGCGCAGCCCGCACAGAGCCCACGCAGCCCGCGCCGAGCCGCGCGCAGCCCGCTGCAGCCGCGCGCAGCCCGCACCGAGCCGCGCGCAGCCCGCTGCAGCCACGCGCAGCCCGCAGCCGCGCGCAGCCCGTGCCGAGCCCACGCAGCCCGCGTCGAGCCGCGCGCGGCCTGCTACGGCCTCGCGAGGCCCGCGCGCGGCCCGCAGCAGCCCGCGCCGAGCCGCGCGCGGCCTGCTACTGCCTCGCGCGGCCCGCGCGCGGCCCGCAACAGCCCGCGCCGAGCCGCGCGCGGCCCGCTACTGCCTAGCGCGGCCGCGCGCGGCCTGCAGCAGCTCAGCGCGCTGTCAGCGCAGCCCGCGCCGAGCCGCGCGCGGCCCTCTGCCTCGGCCACGACCTGCCGCTGATGCGGACCCGCCCTGCAGCTACCACGGCCCCGACCTGCCGCTGATGCGGCCCCGCCCTGCAGCTGCCACGGCCCCGACCTGCCGCTGACGCGGCCCCGCCCTGCAGCTGCTTCGGCCCTGCTCTGCAGCCGGTTTTGCGGCCCCGACGCCGCCGCTGTCGTGCGCCTACTCGGCCGCCGCCCGTCGAGCGCCGGCCCTGCTCGCCCGGTGAGCGCCTGCTCTTCCAGCCTTTGGTGAGCGCCTGCCTGCCTGCCTGACGGCCTGCCTGTCTGCCTGCCTGCCTGCCGGCCTGGCTGCCTGCCTGCCTGCCGGCCTACCTGCCTGCCTGCCTGCGCGACTGCCTGCCTGCCTGCCGGCCTGCCTGCCTGCCTGCCGGCCTGCCTGTCTGTCTGCTTGCCTGCCTGCCTGCCTGCCTGTCTGCCTGCCT